GGAATCTGTGTGAGAGAAGCATGGACTACTCAAAAGCTGTTGTCCCGCAACAAGGGTACAGGGACGAGGGTTCTTGAACTAAGAATACAAGCTTCTTGTGTTTTCTAGGCAATGTAGTTACCGCTTGCTGCCATTCTATTGTATCTAAACAGGACTGGCCAATGTGGTGGCAGCTGCTGCCAAAGCAACACTTTTTAAAAATTTGCACAGCCAATCAGATATCTAGTGGGCAATCAGCCGTTTTGCTGGGCAAAAGCACCACTTACTTTCTAAAAAAGCCCTTGGTGGGCACCAGAAAAGGTGTTGACATGTGCCATGGCGCCCCTGAGCACCATGCTGGGGACCCCTGCTACAGAAAATAAAGATAATGAGAATGAAGAAGATGATGAGGCCTTGTGTGGATAATAGACCTCAGGAGATATTACGAAACAAGTCTAGCAGCTTCAAGTGACTGATAATTCAGCATGGCAGGAGTGAATAGTGTTATTCTGCATGAAGATCCTTGAGAATTTGCTGTAAGACAGTTATGGTTTTGATCTTGCACTTATATTGACCCAAGATATAAGTTGCTGCTTTCATCAGTGGATAAAGAAAAGGCTAAAATTCATTTGTCTAAAATGGACTAACCTGGAATTTCTGAAGCCTGATATTTCAAAAGATGAACTAAATATAACTGCTTCTAAGTCTGAAAAGCTGAGCCACTCCTTAAACCATCCAAGGCTCCCAAGAAGCAAGAAACACTTGATTTAAAAGGCAAAACCAACAAAAGTTCTCTCCTGGAATTTGGTTGATGAGCATTGTCTCAGTAAAAATTAAAACTTTCTTCAGTACTGGGGGGGGGGCACAAAAAACAACAAAGTCTGAGATATATCAGATAGCAAAAAAAAATAATAACCAATCCCTGCTATACCAGTAAGTGCAGAATAAGCTTTTTCTGGCCTCAGGTTCATTATGTCATAGGGTTGTGCCAGCTCTGGGTTGGGAAATACCTGGAGATTTTGGGGGTGGAGACTGAAGAGGGCAGAGTTTGGGGAGAGGATGGACTTCAGCAGGGTATAATGCCATAGAGTCCACCTTCCAAAGCAGTCATTTTTTCATTTTTTTTATAGTCCCCGAAGGGGATTTTTTATAATACTACAAACTACAACAGAAAATGGGAAAGGGGACTACATTTATGGGATAAAAGAAAGATACCCACTACTAACTAAAAACCCAAGAGAGGAGATCTTCTAATCAGCTTAAACAAACATCAAGTCTTAATCCCGCTGATCTCTTTACAAACTGAGTCAAGTAAAATTAACTGTCATTAAGAAATACCCCGAATCATCTCATTTCAAAGTTTTTCAAAGGCACAATTCAGAGTCCTTCAGCCTTCACTTCTCCTTACTCCGTTTCTTCCGCAGCTTATAAGGACTTTTAGGAGCTGCTTCCCCTTTCTCTGAAAGAGAGTCCTTTCTGGAAGAATCCGAGTCCAGCTCACCGTTGGACTTGCTGTCCTCCCGTTCTTTTTCTTCCTCCTCTGGCCCTCCCAGCTGGACTCTTAAAAATTCCCGAGCTTTCAGAACAGAGTCAATCTTTTCTTTTTTATCCTTAATTTTGAAGGTGATGAATTCTGGAGTTAGCCATCTATATCCAATTGAATTTGTCTGAAGAAAAAGAATAAGATCTTTATATTTCTTTCTCCTTTGTCTTATTTCAAATGGAATATCTTTTAGAACTCTGATGACATTCTCCCCAACTTTCAGGGGTACTCCAGATACTGCTTTCAGGATTGCATCCCTCACATGCCTCTCCGAGAATCTTACAACAATTTCCCCAGGCAGATTGTTTATCTTTATATATCCTGAATATGACCTGTAGGCCACACCCATATCGCTTATCAATCATTCCGCCTTCATCTCTGTCACTGGGGCCAATATTTCACTCATCATTTCCTTCAGATTCTCTCCCTTAGTCTCTGGCATGCCCTGGAAGCGAAGAATCATATTAGCCTTTTCCATTTGTAGTTGTAGCAATTGATCTTCTGTGGAGACTTGCATCTTTTCCAGTCGTTTTACTTTTTTCTACACCTTTTGGGCAGTGGCATCCACTTCTTTCACCTTTTCAGCTGTTTGATTCATCATTTTCAAAGTCTCATTTATCTGGGTTGCTGAGCGGTGATACATTGAGTCATTTTAGACATCTGTTCCTTGAAGTTATTCAGCTGGTCCATTAGGGGGTGCATGGATTCTGCCAAAGTCTTTGCCAGTTCGCTAGTTCCTTCCGGTTTCGGGCTCTCCATCACTTTCGATTTCAACATCTTCGCCTTTTCCGTCCTCTTCCCCGCCATGTTTCTCGGTTTGTTTACTTTCGCAAGTTTTTAAAAAGTCTCTGAATATGTGCTTAGACGCTCAAACACGCCTTGGTAAGTACTTCTTAACCATTTTAGCCATTTATTCTTCCGCTCCCCCCCCCTCATTCGCTCAAAAGTTCATGCACTTGGGAGGCGTTTCTCCCCCGCTCACCTTAAACTCTGCTGCGTAGGTTAGAGTAGTGAGCTTTATTTTTTCTTTAAACACCACTTAAACAACTCACGTTCATAATTGGTCCTCAGACTTCGTGTACATTCTCTTTTCGAACGCTCAATCTCCTGCGCTTGCCCCGCTCAGCGTTGCCCCGGTCCATTTGGTCTCTCAGCATGGAGAACCATTGGAATGGAGAGGTTCCTCAATTCTCCAACATTGCGTCATCGAAGAGGCGACCTCTCAGAAGTTCCATGGCCAGGGTCCCTTCAACCAGGTCCCTTGGGGGGTGACGAGCCTGCGCACACCCTCCTTTGGCTGGAGTGCAGCTTCACCCCCGAGAGGTCCGGGAAGTGAGTCTGCTCTAGCGTGCCGCCATCACTGGAAGTCCAAAGCAGTCATTTTCTCCAGGGCAACTGATCTCTGACACCTGGAGATCAGTTGTAATAGTGAGAGATCTCCAGCCACCACCTGGAGACTGGAGACCCTATTCTGTCACCTCAGTGTTCAAATGTGACCAACATAATAATGGAGGATATAACATTAGTAGAAGTAAATAGCATGTTAGTTCTAATTCCTTTTGTCTTCCGTTTGCAAGGTAAACGTTTTATTTCATTTTTTACCCTATTGTATCCATTTTGTTTGTAAAAGAAGAGTCCCTTTTTAAAAATCCAAACTGTTTGATGTCATTCTGGGAAGAAATGTTGAGGTTTATACAGTCTTCATTGTGAAGTAGTTCGGAACATGCTGCTTACTGTGTTATGTGTATGTAAGGTTGTGGTCCCACAGGGGCTGGATCTTGGCTCTACAGTATTTCTGACCTGAGAAGAAGTAAATACAGAAGTAACACAGTGCCACCTTTGGCAGCACAGGAACTGCCCCCAATTAGTAACAGGCATAAAAAAGAGGCCAAAGGAATGGAGATGGGAACAGGAAAGGTATGGCTGAGGATAGCATCTCTCTTTGGCTGATTTCGCACTAGAGCTGCCTCGATGTTGCACCGCCGTTTGCCCCGATACTATTGGTCAATTTCATACCCAAAGCTGCGGGGTTGCATTTTGACTCGCGGCTTCGCCCGATTTCCCCCGCAGTTTCGTAATCCTGTTTCGTGAGGATCACGAAACTGCAGAGAAAATCGGGCAAAGCCGCGGGTCAAATGCAGCCCCGCGGCTTCGGGTGTGAAATTGACCAATAGTATCTGGGCAAATGGCGGCGCAACATTGGGGCAGCTCTAGTGCAAAATCAGCCTTTCTCTCTCTCTCTCCCTCCCTCCCTCCCTCTCTCCCTCCCTCCCTCTCTTTTAAAGGCAAATCTCCCAGTGGGGAGAGCACTACCAGGAATGGGAGTGCTTCATTCACTCTGACTTTCTGGGAGCTGTCATTCTGTCAAAGGACAGCCATCTGAATAGTTTGCTCTGGTTAGTTAAGAAGTAGTGGGTCCCCAAGCCCATCCATCTCACTGGGCAACTAGAATAAATAGGTGAAGACACCTGAGGAACAGGACTTGGAAAGTAAACTAACAACCTTTCAGAAAGAACCTTGCTTGTGTGTCACAAGTCTTTTCCTCACTAATTGCATACCGTGTCTTGATAGACCAAATGAGCCACTATGGCCGTAGCCCTGCTCTAAGGCCCTCCCCTTCCGAGGCCAGGAAGAATAACACACAGAGTGGATAAAACTAACAATTCAGACATAGTTATATTTTTTCCTCAAGTTAAATGGTCATTGTATTCATTTTATAGCATTACAATGTAGGCAAACACTGTGATATTATTCCTCATTAAATATATTTAAACCAATTCAGAGCATCCGAACCAGTTACTAAACCACTGTTTTCAAGTTAATGTCTGAACCAGAACTGCATCAGAGTTAAAAATAAAATTTTTAAAACGCTGCTGAATCTGAACCAGAATTGACTCTGGTTCAACTCCCCACCTCCAAGAAGAGACTATTTAATGTTATTGGGATATATGTTAAGAATGAATAGGTTATACTCCTTAAAATCTTGTGTTTACCAAATACAACGGGGGGGCAGGGGGCAGTTCGTTTTAGTGGCAATGCTGGTTCTGGTGGACTGGCAAAAACCAGTGTTACTATTTTCTGATTTAAAAGTAAAAGGTATTTTATTTTTATTTGGATTTTAAAAAAATCCACCTATAAAGAGGGATGGCTAAAAATAAATCTATTAATGTAGAGGTATGAGCACCATTTTAAGCAAGACAGCAAGAAATCCCACTGCCAGCAGAGTGCCACAATTTCTCATTTCCACAGCTGTCATTTGCCTCTAGGCTGGCAATGGATTTAGCTCCGGGATTATCAGTTGCTGACTAGTACCCCAGACTGTAGAACCTTGTTTTTAAAAGGCCATAAAATGATTAGTATTGTTCACTTGACTGATATAGTGGAAGATGGCTAGTTTTCTAAACTACTACTATTACTATTAATAATATAACTTTTAAATCAGTTCACCAAGTGGCACAAGCATGATGAAAGAAATGGTTTAATAATATCATAGGCATTATCCAGGGAATCACAAATAATGCCAGTCATAGGCACTATTCAATAAATACCTATTCCATTTGCACAATCACTTTTCACACATCAAATTGCTGAGAACAGCCTCATTTTTTAATCTGGTAACTGTTTGGGAGTGAAATAAGAATTGTCATTTGCTTATCTCATTTTTGGCTGCTATTTCTACTATAACTACACATGACTTTGTTAAAAAAATAATATTGACTGTACTGATCAGACATGTAACTGGAAGATTTTATGTTTTTCCTGACAGTCTTTTATGTACATATTTTATATTATTTTTACTGCTCTGTAGTTGTTAACTACTGTGAAGACCTTTGACTGAAAGATGCAAGTTTGTGTTAATGAAAAAATAGGATCCAGGAATACTGTGCTTTGACATAATGAACTATCTATATTCCCCCATTCTTGTGTAATTTTTTTCCCCTTTTATAATTGAGAAGATATAACTTTACATATACTCTTCACATTTTCTACTATCTTTTTTTTCAGGGTAGAGTGAAGAAAAGAACTTCCATACTCTGGCATACACTAAATACGCCATTTATGACAGAGCACTGAAACAAAAGAACAGGATTCTTTTCAAAACTATACACGCACATGAAACCTCATCTGGTCATATTTAAGGATGGAGAGCTGCCAGTTCTGCCATACCCAATTTATGCATTTTATTTATCAGGCTAATGATGCAACTTTAGCTACAGCAATAGAAGTTGCTATTTGCACTGCTACAGCTAGGGCTGATCTGTAGTAAAATAGCTGATTAGAATGCCCTGAATCCTTCCGATATCAAGTTCTATTTTCATTTATTTTGTTAGCAGCATGGTCAGTTAGTGGCACGGTCAGATTAGTGAACTAAATGCCCAAATGAAATTAATAAAGGAGATTCCAAATGAAATGAAATTCACTATCCATATGGATTGGCTTATCAATAGAATTACTCCACTAGGACTCTTATTAAATTTATAGGACTACACTTCGCAATACAAACAGTGCAGCACTTTTCTGGAAGTAAGCCCCACTGAGTAAACTACAATAGGATTTTGCTTAGGGTTGGTCATAGTCAGGGTATAACTGTTCACCAAACTTGTGGTTGGAATTGAGGAAGGAATTTTCTGCTATGCTAGGAGTGACTACAGAGTCTGAAGAATGTTTTGCCTTGTTTTCCAATGTTTCATTTGGCTCTTTCAGAGACCACCTCTAGTTATTTTTTAATGTTAGAAATATTACCATTTGCTAATGCTTGCTGATGAAGCTCCAGTTACCTATTGGCAGAAGGAGCAGGGGCTAGTAAAACACTGACTACCTTACCTATACATTATGTTGTGATGTCCCCATTCTTCAGGAACTGACCACTTCCCTACTATGCAGCCCTTGCACTGACCTTTAGCATTTTCAAAATAAAATGCAAAGAGCAATGGGACTACCCCCACCCTGCCATTTTCTATGCATGGGGGGGGGCGTTTTCTGACATTTTCTTTTGTATGTTTTAAATTGTGATGCTTTTTGTTGTAATGTGTAATTTCCTTGAACTACAAGAAACAGCAGAATATAAATATTTTTATTACATTTATTTTCCTTTTGGGAGGGTGTGTGTGTGTGTGTTATGAATGATGTGTATTCCCCCTCAGAATCTTGAACACATGTGGACCAGGCTTCAGAAAGAGACAAACAGCGGCATTAGTCAACCTATCCCCCTATCCCTTATGTACAGAAATGGTCTTATGCCACTTTCAATAACGCTTCTCAATGAATATCTCACACTTGGGTAAAACGCTGTCTCCTCTCCACAGCTGCATGTTAAGGTATGATTATAGCTACATGGAAAAAACATCTCTTATCAACCGAACTAAACCTTAATAGTCCTCTTGAGTATCACTGTTTTAAAACACTGGGGTTGCCTGATCCTCCCCCTCCTTTGCTGTGAGGCTGAAGCCAATGACGTTACTTGCAAAACTAAGCAAGCAGAGACCCAGCGAGAGGAATCTAGTAATTTATAAAAGCACAGGCGCTGTGTTTTGATAAGTTACTAGAGCAACGGCTCGGCTTTGGGGAGAGCTTCACAGCTGTTTTCATCTACACCAGAGACCCGCGAAGCCTTTCCGCCGCTCATAATTCATCCCGAGGTTGCAAATCAGACGCAGGTGGCTCGTCGCTGTGGGGAGGGAAAGATTGAATTTTGGGGGGGGGGGAGGTGTTTGGAGGGGGGTGTTTGAATTTCCTGGGCGGGGAGAAGGAGGATTACAGCTCGAAGAAATCCTGCCTATTCCCCCCTGCTGCTTTTTGACCAGTCTTTTCACTCACACCCAGCCCCATTTCCCAAAACATGAATTCTGACGACAGGTAAGACCGTCCTTTGTTTGGTATCTAAAACTGGGATTTGAGCTCTGAGGCGCTCGATAGCAAGTTGACGCCGGGCGGAAGGAGAGGAGGAGCCGCCAGCAGAGGGCTGGGACTACATGTTGCTTTCACAGTCGGTCTCTCCTTTCTCCCTTGTGGTTCGTTCCGCTGGGCAAGCAAGCGCCGCGTGTCGGTTCAAGAACGCGATCAAACTTTAGGAACAAATGTATCGAAGCCCCCCCCATCCCCCCCCCCCCCGGGTTTTCGCCTAGCTCAAGTTGAGCTGCTTTTCGCGGATACTGATTCAAGAGAGGTGGTTTGTGCTGGAATAAGGTTTATAGTGGCTCAAGACTCCTGAAGCTGTTCTCCGAGAAGCCTTTTCAACATCAGATTCATAGATAATGCCCAGAAAATCTGGAGCGATTAAATGAAGATTTGAGTGGCAGAATAATGGGAAAGATTACAGGGAAAGGGGGCGGTGAGCCAAGCCAGGCATTCCTATGCTTCGGTTATAAAGTATTCGGCCAAAAGGATGGGAGGGCAAAATACAGCCTTGCTAATTGCTTTCCTCCGGTGGGTCTCGGAAGTGAAGCTTGCACCACAACGGCTTGTGAGCCAGATGGCTCGAAAAGTCACTAGGCCTTGGATAGGCGGCCGCATTCCCCCCTTTCTGAGGCGCTGGCGTCTCTTGCGTCTGCAGATCCGGGGCCAAGTTTCCACATGAAGAGGGCCTGTTGTGGGAAGAATGCGAATGAAGTTATTTTGTTCCTTTTTCGTGGCGCAGAACCAATTAATTCTCAGTTTGGGTACTACAAGGGCTGCTACATTTTTGCTACTTCTTTCTGCTTCACAAGGGAGTAGGGACCTATTTATTAGGGATGGAAATCAGTAAAGGCTAGCTTTTATATTTTCAAGACTACCGTGAAAATCTTTGGCCCTGTAAACCTTTTGAGTACAGTTTGGGATTTTTTTTAATCCACTAAACAATACCTAACCTCATTGAGGCTCCAAACCACATCCTTCACAATCCTGTTTTATCCTATTTGTGAGAGTGTTGTTGTCAACATGCCTTACAACACCCCACTCCTAGGAGGCCACATCAAGCCTCTATGCTCTGCTCCTTAGCCCTCCAGGGCAACTGGTTGACCCCTGTGTAACAGGATGCTGGAGTTGGGCCATTGGTCTGATCCAGCAGGGATTTTGTGTTCTTATCTACTTCTTCCATTATCTCCCCCACCCCTTTTACTTTGGCTTACCACCCATCCTGGTGAGTTTCTACAAACTTGAAAATTTGCTTACTTCTTTGTAACTCTTCATTTGGTCCCAAGCATTGCCGTGATTACTCAGTAAGACAGAAAGCTGCCTGTTTAATAGCTTTGCTTTGTTCAGATGACAGTTCTGTTTTGAATTTTTGAAATTCCTGTTCCTATTACATTGCTTATTAGATGTTTCAGTCTAATGATTGCATTGATTTACGTTATGTAATCTGGCTTGGGCCTTGGCAGACTATAAATAACATATGTAAATTAGTATATAAATTTCCAACGTCTTGAGAGAAAAACAACATGGATTTGCAGTTACGAGAATTTTTTCACTTGGCAACTCCACTATAACTGAGTCCCTGAAAAAAAGGTAGATTGTAAATGAAAGGAGGAAGTAAATAAACAACTAGTACAGTAGTATTCTGTAATAAAGTAATGGCTATGCAAAGTAGGAATTATGGACGCAAATAACTATATATTCAGAAATGAGGTACATACTGTCTTTTTTCTCATACTATGAGGTGGGTTATCTACTGTGTTTAAAATATTTATATCCTGTATTTCCTAGTCATCATAAGGCACCTTGCAAAAATAATGCAAAAATTACAATATAGAACCCAAAATACAGCCCAATATGCATTTGTTGTCTATCAGACAAAAATCAAAATTGATGGCCTAATTTAGGGCATGCACTCTTCAAGAGAGAGCCTGATAAAAAAGCATCCGTGTTCGTGCCCTCTGGGTTGACTTTAGAACATTGTTGCACAGTACAGCAGCAGCAACAAAAGAATCACAGGAATGAACCAAAGCGGAATTGTGTTGAGGTGGGGTCGGGTGGGATGGAATGCCTGAAAGCTGGAACTGCTGCAAAGAACATAATTGGTGTGTGGGTTGATACAGGAAGAGGAGAGACAGTCTTACCAAACAGTATATCATAAGGAGACACAGCTACATGTTCTGCTTAGTTCAGTGCAAGAACATTGATTCACTAGTACAGAGTCTTACAATACAATCATAAGAACTAGGGCTGCCAAGTGGGGGCGGGTGGTGGGTAAACTCCGCCCCCCGAAGCGCAGTGTGGCTGCGTCACCAGAGGTGACACAACCACATCAATCATGTTGGAGGCATGGCCCCGATCGTCGGAGGGGAAACTATGGTTTTCCCTCCGACGATTGGGGCCACGCCTTCAATGTGATCAATGTCGCGCGTCACTTCTGGTGATGTGCTGGTGCTTCGCATGTGCGCGCGCACATCGACAGACTGCTCCCAGAGCCGGGCGAGGCTCCCCCACTGGTAAGAAAAATTGACTTGGCAACCCTAATAAGCGCTTACTTTGGAGGAAGCTTTATTGAATAGACCTGGATAGGATTGTGAGTTGAGTTGCTGTTTATGTAAATATTTTTATCACACTTTTCATCTGCAAAGCAGGACTCAAAACAGTTTACAAAAACCGAACAATAATCTAAATCCACAATTCAATAATAGAAGGGGGCAGTAGCCAGGAGATGGGGTTGAGCAGCAGCCTTAAGAGGGCATTCTTATTGTTATTGTTTGTTGGATGGACAGAAGACCAAAAAGAGAACTATGCAATGCCAGCTGGTGATTTGAGAGTTGGGTTGCCTACTACCAGGTGGGGCCTGGAGATCTCCCAGCATTACAACTAATCTCCAGAGTACCGAGCTCAGTTCCCCTGGAGAAAATGTGAACTTTTGAGAGTGGGCTCTCTGGCTTCATACCCAACTAAGGTCTTTCCTCTCCCCTAATGGCTTCACTCCCAGGCTTTGCATCCAAATCTCAAGGAATTTTCCAGCCCAGAATTGCCAACCCTACTTGTGAAGTTGAAAAACATCTTGAAACATTTCAAAGCTGTTTCATTGCTGGTGTTTTTTATTTGTTTGTTTATTTTATGCCATTTATATGCCACTGATGTAAAGCCAGGGATCAACTTTAATGAAGCAAAAAAAATCCCAATTTCAAGTATAGGCTAATGGTGTCTGAACTTGCTGAGACTGAGAGGGGGAAAGATCTTGGGGTTGTAGTGGATAGCTCAATTAAAGTGTCAACCCAGTGTGCTGCAGCAATGAAAAAGGCAAACTCTATGTTAGGGAAATGGAGGATGATGATGATGATTATGCCCCCCCCGAAGGGTATTTTTTAAAATGGCTTTTCTAATAACTACAAATAGAAAATTAGGAAAGGGAAACTACAATCTAAGGGAGAAAGTAAAGAAAACCCTCTTAAAACCCAAGAGCTGGTGATCATACATACATTTGCAAAATTACCTTTAAGCTTAAACACAAGTTAACTTTCGTTGAAAATGATCATCTATCTGTTTAAATATTTAGAGATTCATCATCAATTCTAGTGTCATAAAAAGACTGTGAAAAGATATGCAATATACTTATTTCAGATACTCCAGAGTAGATTAACAATCTATTTTTCCCCTTTCTGTGTCTCGATTGATAGCTTTGTTTGGGGGCAGCAGCCCCCAATTTAGAGTCAGAGTCTTCTTCGGAAGATCCAGCCTCTCCTTCTTCTTCACTTTCTTTGGCAGCATCGGTTGCACCCTCTACTGCTGGGTTGCTATGTTGATGCAAAAACTTGCAAGCCTTTTCAACAGAGTCAATCCTTTCTTTTCTATTTGCATATCTAAAGATTAATCCCTCGGGTGTTAGCCATCTGTAACAGACATTGTGCTTTTGTAGAAATAAAACCAAGTCTCTGTATTTCCTTCTTCTCCTTCTTATCTCAAATGGAATGTCTTTCAGTACTCTTATGTCTTTGTCTTTTATCTTCAAGGTCGCTCCATTAGATGCTTTCAGTAGTTGAATTCTCACTTTTCTTCGGGAGAATCTTATTGTAACTTCCCCTGGCAGATTATTCTTTCTGATAAATTCTGTGTACGATCTATGGACCATATCAATTTCACTTTGAAGTTGATCCGATGTTGTCTCTGCCAAGGGAGCGAATACATCGCCAACAATCTGTCTCAGATTCTCTCCTTTCTCTTCTTGGACACCTTGAAGTCTCAAGACATAGCTTGCCCTTTCCATTTGCAGCTCTAATACTCGAGACTCTTCGATTTGGCATTTCCCCCCCAAAGCCTGTAGTTTTGTATTCATCTTTTTTGAGTTGGTATCAATCTCTTTAAGTTCTTGCTCCATTTTTTCGATTTTCTGTATATTTGTAGCCATTTGTGCTTGTTGTGTATCGAGTTTATTGTCAATTGCTGTAATTTTCTCCAGTAGGGGGCAAAGTGCTTCCGATAACAGCCTTTGGAGTTCCTCAATTGAGTCCTGTCTAGGCACAGAACTTGCAGGGCTGGAATTTCCGGGAAGAAGCTTTGTTTTTGCTTGTTTGTCTCTCTGGGCCTTCACAGGCAGTGCCATGTTTTGTTTTGTTTTTAAGTACCCATAGGTACACTTTTATTATTTTTCATATTATACACATACATACATACATACATACAACATATAAACAAACAACCACTTACATACATAAGACATACAAAGAGATCAGTATATTTTCTTATTACTCTATTA